GTGTCTTTCCACTTGCCTTGCCGGTCACAATGATGAGTATGAATACAGAACTTAAAATAAATGGCTCGAAGTTTTCACTTCGGTCTTTAATGTAACTGGAAGAAATACATCCTCCTCAGTGCTCATACAGAAACACTTAACATGACAGATTTCCATGTACCTGTACATTTTGGCATCTCAAGAAGCAATTCAGGTAAATGAGTTTCATCTAGTAATGAGAAAGCTGTAAATAAAATGAGATGAAAAATCACAATACAGTATCTCAATAAAACATGCCTGGATACAATCAGCAGTCAATCAGAATGACAAAAGCTGTGTGGGTTGGAGTTAGAGAATTTTAATGGAGTCTTAAAGCTTACATACAGAAATAAGAGTTGCCGATAGCCAAAGGTACAGTTCCATATGTCCAGGATATCCAGGTAACACCAAAAATCATATCTAAGTGTCTAAGGCTGTAACCAAGAAAGTTAAGATTGCTTAAAGCTTTTTTGTTTGCTTTTCTACTTGTCTTTTTGTTTAAATGAGGATAAAATTTTCCCAAAGTTCCGTTATCTTCAACTTTTTATTTTAAAGCTATGTTTGACTTGAAGTGAATGTCTTTCTTTGGTTTTTTATCCTACTAGTATCTTTTTTTAAAAGTAGGGAAGACAACACCTGAACACATTACAGTTGTTTCCCCTGACTACGCCTTACTCGTTAGGTGAGAAGCCTGCAGTTTGTACACGTGCAACTGGAGCACTGGGGAAGGTGAGAGCCGTTCTTCTCACACACGCTGCAATTAGCTGTCCGTTTCTCCGTGGACGTTTTCCATGTGCACTTTGAGGTAGTCATTTCTTGTAAACTTCTTGTGGCAAAGCTGGCATTCTGCCATCGGTCGATTAGGGTTGTGAGTCAGCTTGTGTCGGATCAGCATTTTCTTCAGGCTGAAGGACAGATCACAAACCTAAGGCAGTGAAGACAGGAGAAAGACAAAAGAAGTCTTAAAACTTCAGGCATGTTACATCACTGAGGCCAGAGCCACATACACCTGCAGTACTTAATAAATTAGCTGGTCTTCTTAAGAATAACTCCTTCAGAGAGCACCTTACAGATTATTATTCTGTCTGGTATCTTTCCATGTTGTACATTAATAGATTAACATACACAAAACAGGTACAAGGGGGAAAAAAGAGAGGGGAAAAAAAAAGAGCAGGTGGAGGAGGGGAAGACCCAATCTTCAAAATACCAGCACGTTGAGGTGTCACAGTTACACTGGGCAGGTTTTTTTTTTTAAACCTACTATTCTATCTGGGATGGAACAAAACTTATGGCGAAACCTCACAAGCCTCTACTGATTTCACCTCAGATGAAGTATTTCCTTCCTGACCTCCAAAATGACTTGACATCTACGGGTTCCTAAAAAACAAGTTCAAAATGCTCAGTTACAAGGACGGAGGAGAAAAAAGAGGCACTGGAGACTATAAGAAAGGTTAATAATTTTTATAGAGGAAACCTCATTGTTCCACTCGTCCTCTGCCTGGCCAAGAAAACAGAAGACATCCTGCAAATGAAGGTGCAATTTCTCTGCTATATTATTATCTGGTGTGCAGTCGCTGATGTGAAGCAGTCCAGTTAATTCTGCCATTTGAATAAATCGATAGAGGGATGAGGGGCTTTGCCACGTTAAAACCATTACTTCTTAGAAAAAGTCCTGTACCAAAGTCAAAATGAAAGATTAAGAACAAGTTCAGGCAAGAGAAGTTAGAGTGACAAGTTAAAAATCTGTAGGTGAGACATCAAGTCAATTGAAATTGTCCAGTTATATTGTGACATTCACCTTCTGTCCAGGTACATATTGTACGTGTGGATTTCCCAGGAAAAAAAAATAAATTAGAAAGCATGTCCCTGATTTGACAAACGAAATAGGCAAGTCTTATAATTAAAAAAGAATGAACAGCCATAGGCTTGCAATCCTAGCATTCCAGGTGCATTGCACACAAAAATTTCTTCTATGCAGAGGAAACTCAGGGAACTCAGCACAATCCCTATTCAAGAAATTCAGGTTTTAAATTCACATCGATATCAAACTAATAAATAGAAAGCTGAATGACTACTGATTCCTTCTGAAACCAGGACAGCCAAACAGAGCTGACTACACAAGTAGACAATCTCGACCTGCTGTGCATGTATTCTACGCCAATTAAGGCAAAACTGTACAACGACCATAAAAAGGGCAATTGCCAGAGGCAAGTTTAGTACCCAAAGTATTTTTTTGCCAGACAGGAACACTGTATGTGCTGTTGTAATGGAACATTTTTGAATTTATGACATGATGTAATATCAAGGACTTTTACACAGCAACTCTAACTCTCCAACTTTTTTCCCCTCAATGTACAATTGCCTCTTTCAGACCCAAGCAACAGTCACCCTTTTGTCACGCGACAGTGAACGTCACTTACAGCGTCCCCTGGTCCCCTTTCCTTTTGCAAAATTCCATTTTCTGTTCCTCTTCCACAGAACAGACACAACGGACTCATAACATTTATCTAATCGTAACCATCACACTTGCTTACAAGTCCCAACACATTAAAAGTATCAGATACTTGTAAACACATCTGTCTTGTAAGTCTTAAGAGACACGGACGTGTTCTGTGTCTGTTAGACACATCTCTTCTTTTTCAGAGTAAACAGTTTAAAACACAGTCTTCAAGTACAGGTTTTACTTTATAATGTTCATGCAACAAGTATGCTGTGTCCTGCTGTTCTTTCAAGGCTCTCATATGTTCTAACTTCCTCAAACAGGATCAGTGAAGATACGAGACACCTCGTGCTGTGCTCACGCATACAAATCTGGGTGTCTTGTTCTAAAGGTTTGCTGCGTATTTCAATTCCATGAGCAAGGCTGACATTTTATAGATTCACAACCATGTCTGCTAACGTGCGCTTGAACTGCCATCAATCTCTTCAAAATGATCAAAGTTTTGATCGAGTAGGGAGGATGGAAAAGACTGACATTTGAAACTAAGTGCAGGGTCAACTAAAGGCAGAGCCGAGGGAAATACTGTGCAGGAAAGAAACCAGGACAGGCAGTACCTGACCTTTCTGCCCCCAAAGAATAATCTGTTGGCTCTGAGGCAACTAAAGCTCAATCGGCCTTTCATTAAAAAAAAAGGCTGGTCTTATGTCTAATTCTTGAAGGAAATCCTATGTAAAGCAAAAAAACGCAGTCAAAAAAACCTGACATGTAATAGTTTATCTTGAGTGGGGAGAGGTGCATTGTCAAGGGTAGCCTACATTGAAAAAATAAACATTTTTTTCGAATAGCCACAAGTTTTATTTCTTCAATTCTTTGGCACTGAAGTAAATACCTGTTTGTAATTGCTAATAGCGCTAAGAAACAAAGAAAATTCTGAGAGCAAATGTTACCATGTTACTTATAAGAAAGAGCTGAATAGTTTCTATGACTGCTTCTAATGCCAGGTAGGAAACAAGACCAAACCTCTCAATTCTCTTACAACTTCCTTTCAGCGTAGCTTTATGTACGATGACATAACTTCAGAGTTAGGGTGACTAAGGAGGAATGTGGCACAAGTGCAGAAAGCAATGAATGGCCTAGCTATTATAACTCTTTCTGTTAATTAAAGAACTAATAAACAGTTATTGAAATTCCATTGCAGTAACCTGACACACTCTCTCCTCCCCAAAATCTCTTTCCACAGCTAAGAATTTGTGGAAGTGGTCACCATAAATTAATTCATTATCCGAAAATCATGAGGACATCTATAGGTATCTTTATCAAGATAAAAAACTGTAGGTGAGAATATTTGAGTGTAAAAAGCCACCTGTAGTACTCGGGAGCCAACAATAAATATCTCCCATAGGTATATTTTTTTGTAACTGTCCACTACCAGGTTTCCTGCAACTTCTGCCGGTAACACGCAATGCCTGAGACTGCTCTGGAGGAACGGTCTGCTCCGAGTGACAAGTCTCCAGCACCTGCAGAAGTGGAGTCCGGATGAAATAAAGAGTTAACTATTGAATGCAAAACTTTGAACACTCTCTAAGTGTGCATTAAGCAGTAGACTATGGCAGGCACCTGGGCAGCCAAAGACTGTATGAATGAATAGTAGTGGCAACTGTTGTTCATGTCCAAACCCTGAGAAGGCAGCAATCTTTGCAATGCGCAGCTGCCAAAAGACTAGTGTTGAAGAATAATTTTGGTGAAACATGGCATAAATTTAAAGTATAAAAAAACCCCTCCAGTAAATGAAGGTACATAAAAATTCTGAGAGGACTGGACATACGTTACAACTCTTCCTAGAAAAATTTATTTGGAAAAATAGGTTCTAAGTAATAAAGAAAAATGAAGGAATAGTTGAAGCAGCAAAATGTTTTCATACATCAGCCAACAGCTGATAAAAATCAAAGCTGAAAAAGTTATTGATACTGATTTGGAATGAAAGAAACCGTCAAGGTACTATCGAGAGCCAGGCTGAGATTATCTCAAAAGAATACAGCAAGTCTCCTAACTTGTAGACATCACCAACATATCGTAGCCTAAAGTTTTTCATCACATTAATGCATTTCATTCCCAATGAAGTGTCACGGATTATTTATTACAAGCCAGATCAATTAACAGACCCTTGCAACTTTCTTGCCAAGTGGTTATTCTAATTTTGCATCTAATTTTAGAAATCTGCAGACAAATTCACAACTCTTCAGACAGAGCCAGCTAGCATACAGCTGAAAGCTGGCGGGACCCTTGTGACCAGTTCATTAAGAGCTTGTATCACAAAAACCACGTATACTTCTTCTATACCCTGTTCTGATGCCCTTGTCTAAATCCTTAAGCAGCAACATGAATTCTGGCATTTGATAATTCTGAAGGACACAATTTTCCATCAGTTTCTGCACTTTCAGCTTCCTCATCTACGTTCCCGAAAGCTGTGAAATAGGTTGCATACAGGACGGAGTCTGCTGAATGAAAGGTACTTGACAGTGATCTATGAACTGGAACGCGATACGTTGCATTTCAGCGCTGTAAGCGTACACAGCATCTGCCATTTCTTCACTGAACAATAAAAAAACAACTACGAGCAGATGTTGAAAACACCAGACCAGATTTCACTGACCAGAAACTGGAAATTCTGAATTCACACCCTCAACAACAGCAGAGGTGTTCAGATTCTATGTAATGAATTAAATACCTTTACCTATATAATTCCTAATCTCTAACTACTAACCTGTCACACAATTTACACAAGAACCCAACCAGCATGAATTTGTAACTTCCAACATCCAAACTGCATGAATAATGGTAAAAACAGCTCTTAAGGGATCCAAAACCATAAAATAAAAGGACGTGCGATGCTCTTGGCAACTGAAGAGGGTGTATAAAATGCCCCGAATGGTCTTTCATTAGTCAGGCAACCAAAGACCATATGATGTGCAACTTGACATCACAGCCAAGAGGTGGAAGGCCAAAGTCTCAGCACAATCAAGTCCTGCTGCTGCGCTGAAGTCAAGGAGGCAAAGGGATAGATCAACTCACATCGCACTGAAACGGCTTCTCTCCGGTGTGGGTCCTCATGTGCTCATCCAGGCCTCGCTTCTGACTGAAAGCCTTGTTACACTCGGAACACTGGTACGGCTTTTCCTACGTGAAATGACAACAGTGAGCGAAAGTGAGTGAAAGTGAGGCAGTGCAGAGCCTGAGTCATTAAAGGAGTGGAATTCCATGCTGGATGGTGCAAGTTTTATATTCTCTCTAAGGGATTACAGTCAGTGAAAACAACACAAAACGACTTTCAAATGATTAAGTGAAAGCTGGGAAAGCTGTGGCCTGACAGTTTCCACTTCAACACCCACTTAGGAATTAATTACCTGTTTCAGCCTTTCAAACCCAGTCATTTTGGGAGTCTGTTTTTCATAATGTGAAAGGTACAGAAACATAAAATTCCAACATACTTGACTTTATCCTCCACGCAAGCTTAAAGCACAAAGACAAGGAAGATGTCTATAAAAACCTCACTTTTGTTAGCAGGTTTCCAAGCAGAAGAGCTGAAGAGAGGAAGAGGGGGTAACAAGGAAAATTATTTTGAAAAGTGGTGACAGAGGGTTAATCACATATTCATTCCAAAATCTCAAAAGAAGTGCAGATAGCAATCAAGTCACATGTATTTTTATCAGAACTATTGGTTAGCAGCTACTGTAACACATGATGCTATGAAAATTGCAAGCTCACTGACCTCAAATAAATATTGGGAAATACATATGGAAAACCATTTATGTAAAGATTTTCTTCTCTGAAGCTCTTGCCTAACATAGAAACTTATATAAGATGTGATTCCTCCTTTATTCCACTAGAACTTTATGGAAAACAACATGTAAATAAATCAATTAAATGTAAAAGTTAGGTAACGTGCAGTGTCATAATACTTGCTAAAATTTTGATGCTTTAGAGGCATCTTTGTTTTGAATCAAAGAACTATACTACTTTCACTCTCATTCTACTTTTGTCTGTGGTCCTTAATTCTGTATTACTTGAGTTCTAAAGTTGACTATTCTAGGCAACAAAGTAAACATTTTTTACTAAATCAAATTGAAAACAAAGACTGAAAATCAATAGGCAATAAAAATGCTAAGTTGAAGAATTAACGAACAATAGGCAGTAATCTGAATGGTCTTTTGAGAGATAATGTGGGATAAGTGAGAAGGAGCAACTCAGCTTAGGTGTTGATGTTCCAAAGTGAAGAAATTCTCCTGCTATTGAATTCCTGTTCTCAGTACACAGAGGACAATCCTGACAGGTACTCGCCATAAACCATATGTTTAATACAACAGACTTTTAATACAACAGACTATAAATCAGGCCTGTTCTGTCCCAAGCTCTCTCTTCAAGGTTGCTCTTGGCAGGTCTAGAGGTCTCAGTGGGGGTGAAGAGTGGGGTCTTCATTTTGGAGTACCCTCCCATGAGCTCTCCTAGAAAAGGCAGTGTCATTGACAGAAATATCTCAACTTATAGTGGAGAGACTCCTCTAGGAGTCAAAAGCTGTGTACAGAGGGAAAATCATTTATCCAGCAATTTCAGTTTCAGACATGAATAAATCATGAGACAAAATTCAGTGCATGTCAGTATGATGCAAGACAAGTCTTGCTACTGACACAGTCTGAGTACACAGTGCCCGGCTTCATATAATTCTTCAGGATAGTACAAAACATACCAAATTACCTATAATAAAAAAGATCTGAGCTGATCTTAAAAGAAGCATCATCTAGACCAAAAACTTCACATTGGGCAATTTTGCTAGACCGACTAAAGACTTCATAGAGCAGGTCTGCAATTTTCAAGGAAATGTAGGAATAAGCCACATGAAACACAAGTTTCTGCAACATCCCGTTAATTGGTTTTGCATTGTGCTTAACATAAACCACGTTTTCTGTGAGTTCTCTGAAAACAGCCTTTCTCTGTGCAGGCTGTTCCACAGAAAGTACAAAGTCAAGTCTATGATGTGTACATCTTAAACACCTATGAAAACACTCATTATTGCAAACTGTACCAGGTGTGCTTGGTCCTTTTTATCATCTTTTTCTTCAGATATCTCATTAATTTCAGAGTTAAACAGACTTCAGGATTCAATTCTGAAGAAAACTGTTATCAACTCTGGGAAGCTAAATCACAAAGCTAGGCTGGACTATCTTCCCCAAGGTGACGTTTGGTATCTGTATTATTCTCTATGGCAAAAAAAAAAGGTATATCTAGCCATCCCCTTGGCCATTTGTATTCAAACCCACATGTAGGACATGGAACACATCCAAAGCCGTCTTTGATCTAATTTTAGATTCTTTACATGTGTTATCTTCCAGTGACTTCAGCAAATACAATTCCAGTTCCCATCGGCCCTCTCTCCCCCAAGCTAAGCTGCCTTTCATTCACATCTGGGCACATCTCGGTGAAATCAGTAGTGCAGTCCAGAGCAAAACTTGGTCCCAAGTTTTTCTCCAGAGGAGAAGGCGTTTTTTTATCAGTTTTGAACATGACATAATTCTCGGAGACTAATTTCTTCAAAACAAAACATTCTGTGCTTTTCCTCTTCTCTCTCCCTCTTCTTCCCCTCATATCAAATTTCCACTGCACAATACTTGGAGAAAGCAAGGTTTGTAACACGGAAAAGATGATGTATCTTGGCACAACTACCACTGCTCTAAACCTGTACAGAAAGAAAATAGATAACAAAGCAGCAAGTCTGAAAGAGAAATTAATGCCACCACAAACGGACAATCAGGACCAATGCTGAGATTAGACGAAAGTTGGACAAACTTAAAACATCAAGCAAAGTGAAAAACCTGCTAAATGTCAACAAAACAGGAGGTCATTGGGAAGATCATAGAAGCCTGACTTCAGAGGAGTTAGCAACTGCCAGTACTATAAATCTACCCTCTGTTCAAAAAGCATCTGCCAGGCCATGACTATGGTAGCAGCAAAGCCAAAGGATTACATGTGTTTTCTTTTATTGATGATACAAATGAGGAAAGGAGCAGGGAGAGCGAGAGAGACAGGATGAGGTCGATACTGAAGTGATTTAATATTACATTTTTGAGTATGCCAGGTATAACCAGAAATACGCAGATCAGGATTTATAACCTTCCTGTCTCTAAACAAAAAAAGGCCACGGAGAGCCCAAATGGGACTTGGTATTCTGGAAGGTGCCTTGCTCTAAGACAAGTACGCTAACTTAGAAGCTCCTGTTCCTGATGATTTTCACTTCACTACATTAAAACTGAGAGGAATTTACCATTTTATCAACCATGACAAATAAAACAGTGCCTGCAATACACACTTTATCCATCTGTGGTACCTGAATCATAAACAACTACCTTGGATTCTATGCAAATTGTGCTTTGCATTAGAAGAGCATCAGAACCTGACAAATTCTCAAGGCCATTTGATGCCACCTTTAACAGACGGATAGAACATGTGTACAGAGTGACCTGCAACCACGGCAGATGGAAATAGTTAAACGCAGAATATTTCAAGTGCTATCCGCTGCTGTAGTTGACTGTATCTCCCTTAAGAAATATGAAGACATCACGTATATTAACTCAGCACTACCGCATGTTGTTGTTTCTGTAAATCTGGTAAAATCGACTACATGAATAAAATAGGAATGACTTTGGAAGAAGTATCTCCAAATAACTATTTTAATCTGAATTTAGAACTACTATATGAGACCAACAGCAAGAAAGCCTTAATTTAGACAATACTGTATCCAAATAAATAATAGCTCTATTTTCAAATAAATAAGATTCAAGACCAGTTCTAGAAACTACTTCCATTGTAGCAGGAACAAGTTAAAACTGGGCCGAAACCACACTCAGGAGATCTCATTCTTGACTTTTTTTCTTAAATTATTTTACTACAGCAATTGTAGATTTATACTGCTCAGAATGTGAACTTGTTGACTACAGAAACATTTCTCAATAATCCTTTTTAAGGTTTTAATTGGCATACAGGGTATACTTAAAGTCCTAAAGCTATCTAGGATCTAATTTCACAATTTTTTTTTCTTTTTTTAATATCCTACTGAATTCAGCAGTATTCAAGGTGATGGTACAAGAGCAAAAAAAATCCAAACCTTATTTCTTCTCTGGAGGCATACAAAATTGACATCTGTAGGACAGATAAATATGATATATTTCTGGAAAATGAACAGTAAGGCCCAGTACATACATGAAAATTCTTGGTAAAACCTGAATAAGCCTGTAAAGGTCTCAACCTATACTCCTTAGGAAACAGTGGGTATGGAACCTTTTTTGGCTGTAATTTATTCTCACAGAGCTAAAGAAAAATATCATCTTGCATTTTCTATAGCAAAGTATTTTAAAATACGTAGATCATCCTTTATCTCACATAAGATTTTTTTCTTGTATTTAATTGTTTCCATTCTTCTAAAACAAAGAGCTTTCCTTTGCTCCCAAAGAGAATGTCTTATAATGCCTACAAATGAAACAATAACACTATTTGCTTTCAAACTTTATGTGAAGAATTTGAAAATATTTGTATTACTCTTCATAAATTTCGTTTCCATTATCACTTGAACACAGGGCTAGTCAAAAAATTGTTTGGAAAAAAATCAGCAAGAGTGGAAAAATGTGGCCGAGAACAAACAAACACGACCAGCTAGACAATGTTAAAGTGTCGATAGTCAGGCTTGCAGCTACCACGAGCTGACCTCTCAGACAGAATCCTGGAAAAACTACAGCTTTGTCAGCATGAAAATGCAGAAAAGCCAGAGATGTTTGCTGATTACAGAACTGAAGGTTAGTGACAAACACAGACTTCAGGAAGCATTATCTACAGGGTACTTTAGGCACTGAGGGAATGAAGTGAAGTTTAAGAATCCTGCATATTTCACGCAAAGCCTAGAACAGGTATCACCCTGTCAAAACCCCACCCGAATGCAAATTCAAGGTTCAGGGCTACGACAGCCTGAAAACCTCAGTCTGAGGGGACCTGGAAAAGCCCAACAAGAGGCAGCCTAACGAAGTGTTCATGATGCAAACCCATAAGGAACCCCCAACGTACCTTGCAGCCTCACTAACAGCAAACTGCTACTAAAAGTTGAGCAGAACTGCGATGAACAAGTAACAGAAGTCCTAGAGAATCAGAGACATCTCTCAGTGCTTGGTCTAGAAACTCCCCACAGTTAGTGCCAAAACACGCTGCAGGCCAGGCCAAGCAAGTCGTTCTTTAAAGAAAACCTGTTAGACGGCAGCTGTGGCAACAGACCTTTGAGCCCCAGTAAATTCCTGCATCGAGGCACAGGTTTTTTCTACATTTAAGAAGAGCGATGGGTAGTTTCGCTATCAAGGAAGTGGTGACAAGCAGCGTATTGCTCAACTCTTTTTAAAAGGCCAGCTTTCATCTCAATCGAAGGGCTGGGAATTGCGGCAGAGTGCGGCAAGAAAGACAGTGAAGTGCCTACTGAAACAAGGGCGGCTTATGTAGCTAATGTTTAGTTACATTTCGGCCCTAAAAAAATAGACTAAGCTGATTAATGTCAGGAAACAAACATCAGTGATACTTTGTGCTAGGTCATCACCACTAGCAACACATCCCCCGTGGAGAAGAGAGGCTAAGTCACTTAAGATCACAGATGGTGTGAGTTAATGGAGTCCAGTTTTACACTGAAGTGTGAAAAATGTGCAGCGATGCTCTCTTAGTAACTAGGAAGTTTTGGGAAGTTACAGCAAGTGGCTGACCCACAGACAGAAGCTCACTTAAACTATCAGACTTGCATTAAATTATACTAAAGTAATGTTGACAAGGCTGATGAGAATTTACAGCTCCACAGAAGTAGTAGGGATTTGAATCTTACAATGACCAAAACTAAACAAACACTCACTTCACAAGTACACATTTCCCCCATTGAGAAGTAACATCCTTTCAAAAAAATATTTTCAATAACTACAGCAGGCACAGAAACTTCCCTATTGAAACAATTGTGAAAATTTTTTTGGTGAAACTTTTATTAGAAGTGACTGATGATTTTGTTAGAGACGTTCTCAATTCAGTTTTGGAGGTGTTTTTTTAAAAGAAAAAAACCCCTCAAATTCTTGCAATTTGTAATTAAAATATCCATCTTCACTTAAATGCCTGCCAGGAGACAAAAAAGGTGTATTTCTTTAAAAGCCCTAGTACATGCAATTAGTTGGACTTCACTATACCATTGATTTCCCATTTTCCATAGTAGTTCTGCCTATTTGCTATCTAGAGCCTGTAAAGTTTTTGTTTCTTCATTTATTTTTTCACACTGCTGATGTAATTTCTGACCCTATGACTATAGTGAAGGAGTGAGTATTTATTTAATTGGCCATGATGGAAATTCAATAGATGTAGACCTGCTCTTGGAAAAAGAACAGTTATCAATATAAAATTCCAACATTTTCACTTAACGAGCAAAGGACAATGATCAGCCAACATAACATAAAAAAAGTGTGAAAAATATAGGTGCAGAGGGATTCAAACCTTCTATATTCTGTATACAAACACAGATTCCACAGGCAATGAAACCACAGCACTGGCAAAGTCATCATCCTCAGACAGATGTTTGGGAACTCGCTCATGTCTCACCAATAGGGAAATATACAGAAAATCTAATATTGAAAAAAATTCAAAATTCAATCAACACCTCATATTATTTCACTACACAGTCATGTGCATAGAAGACTAAAGTTAATACTCAATGTATATTTAATTTTTTGTGTGTGTCAATCGTTTGGTATTCTTGGTAGAACACGTGACTTTTAAAAAAACTTAAAGCCCAAATATTTCCTGAGAAATACCTAACAAGTGAAATTATGTCAGAATTGTCAGTATTGTTTTTGCATTGTTTTTTTAAGTTATTTTAATACTGTTCTAGCTTAAAAAAATAATACAGCAGTTTGCGTGAAGTTTAAGATGAGTGCCTTGGAAAGACTGTTTAACTTAGGACCTCGAGGAGGACAGTTTTCTCCTTGTGCTCTCCCAGCAGGAAGCAGAAAAACTGACCTGAAGAGAAAACCTCAACATAGCTTATACCTACTTCCATCAAACTCATAAATAAAACTCGAAAGTAACTCAAGGTTGAGTAACACTCGCACGTAGTGTCTCAGGCCTTGAGTCATTAGCTTCTAATGGTATCTACACCTAAGTTACTTATGTGACTGCAGTTCTGTGCAGACACATTGATAAAAGCCACCACTAACAAAGATTACAAGTTGCTCGATTTCTTACAGTATAATCTGAGTATTAGGTGTGGTTTTTTTAAGCCCACTTAAAGATTAAGGCATTTTTAAACAGTAGGCACTTACGCATGAAACAAAAGAAATGTACATACCAATACACTGTAATTTCTCTATTTTGTAACTATTACCTCAGAAATGGAGAATTCGATCATTACAGTCAACAGCCTTCTAACCAGCTGGAATCATATTTTTAAACAAGCTATAAAATTATCTTTTATACCTTCAAAGAAGAAATATGCCATGTTCAAACTAAGTGATGAAAAACCATTTGCGAACGGCTTCTACTCTTCCTGCATAACATCGCTGCCACGCACTTCATGGAAAAAAAACCAAATAAAACTACCATTTTCAGAAGTGATGAAAGCATCAGTTTTGACATGACAATAACTCTAGGCACCCACCAATGATCCTATTTCCCAATATTAACAATTATATTGCAGTATCATACAATAATTTCTCTACATCTTTACGGTCAATTTTTTCTTAGGCTGTTAGATTTTCTTAAGAAAAGAAAAAACAAAAAGAAAAAACAAGCCATAAACAAACACATCTACTTTCATATAAATAAATCCCCAACAGGTGATTTTTTTAATATTAGGTGGCTACCATTTTCTTCTCCTTCCACTGTCAGGAGGGGTTTTGTTTCACCTTCTCTGTTTACTCCAGAGTTTGAGTTGACACCTGTGGCCACCCAGCTTGCACTCACTTTAGCAGCTGCCAGACCCTAATCAACTTTCTACAATGATTTTTCCAGCAGCTTTCCCTGATCCACAGGACCAGGTTTGGCATTTAATCCCACCGGTAAAATACATCTAGATTTAATCTCTACAATGACATTTTCCTTGTTGGATTTCGAATTAGTACTTTTAAGCTACTTGACAATTTTTCTGGCCAAAAGCTCAAGCTCTTTTTTTCAAGATACTTACAAGAACAGCCCTTGAGGAAGGGTATTATGATGATGTTTATTTCCACATAGCAGAGCTTAGCTGATAAAAAAATATCTTCTGGATTTATACACCTTATTATTTATTCTTTGAATAATTACTTTGCATGCAATTGCAATATACAACAATCAAGAAAAAATGCACAGGATTCTTTCACTGAAGTACTGCATTGTCTAGACTGTAGTATATGCGATCCTGCCGTAAATAACTATCAGTTATTTTACAGCTTTTAAGCAATGAAGACAAATTGTAAGGTTCTCTCACTCACTAGCACATATTTTGGAAGAAATCATCACTTGGCATAAATAACTATAGTCAACAGAGATATATCACTGCAGGCTCTAAAGTCCTCCTTACCCTTATTTTTCCTCTTTTTTTAATCTAGAGAGGCTGGGGGGTTGTTGTTTTGACTCAAACTGAATGACAAATCAGGAAAAAATTATAATTGGCACTATTTTAGAGCTGGTCTTGTTTACCACTCCTCCCACTCATAGCCATGCAGAACATATATGGTAACAAAATCTCTCCTGGTACGAAAACAGTAATATGGGACAGTAACAACAGAAAGAATTTTATAGCACTTCAAGTGATTTAACAATTGGAAAGGAAAAACAACCAACGGAGCAGGACCAGCCTGCTCCCAGTGAATCACTGAGAAGCACTGCACAAACTACTGATAACTTCTTAAGTTCGGGGGAGAGGAGCTAAAATTTTATCTAGGAGCTCCAGTTAATACTCTCAAGATCTAGGTAGAACGGTAGAAATGTAAACAAACAGTTTTAACCTTATCCTTCCTTATTTAGAAAGCTATTCTGAGGGCACATTTGCACATGGAGGCTACTAATCTAACAATCACCCTCCCTAGTTTCTAAGAAATAAAGAATTTAGTCAGTTTGGCTTCAAGGCTCTCCATCTCATCGCTGGCTGACCAGGGCCAACATCTTGCCTTTGTCCTCTAGCAAACACACACATATCACAGGAGTTTTCCCTAAAACAGGGAACCTTTGTGCTAACTGAGACTCAAGGTTCAAAAATAATCTTGGGGACATCTTCAGCTTGCCTTTTATTTTGCTTTCAGTTAAACAGAAGTGAAATAAAGTCATTTTGCACAGTGACTGGATTTTCATGAGACAGTAAGACTCAAAGCCTTGGATATGGAAGTTGCCAGTATAGCGAAGCCTTTAGAGAATTGTTTACTCAGTAGACAATCACACACATTAATTAATATCTACAAATCCTCACTGGTTAAAGGAAGAAGTTAATACTGCTATTATTTCAACATATAAGAAATCAACCACAGAAAAAATAAGTCAGTAAGGAAGTCAGAATTTAACAGTTAATGACTTAGATCTTTGCCTCTTATTTTGGTAAGTATAAAATATCTCGGTTGATACAGCCTAATCTCTACACAAACAGTAATTATTTACTTTCTGGCACACGTTACGCTTACCCTGGTGTGGGACTTACCCTTGTGTGCGTGCGAATGTGCATCTTCAAACCATCGTTCTTGCTGAAAGCTTTGTCACAGTAAGGACACTGGTAAGGACGCTCACCTGAAAACAAGAAAAGCATGAGAATCCATAAATGCGGCCTCAGTAGACGAAGGGCTTGCAGCATGGTTATTGCTCAAACACAAGAACTTCTTATTCTTGGCCTTTTCTTCCCATTCTGTTAAAACAACAAGAGATTTGAGCATTAGGAAAATTACAAACAATGGCCCACCTAAGCAGAGTGCAGGGTTAGATGAAAATATGACTCTTTCCTGTTTGGTTTTGTTCTAGTAATATATCACAGAGAACCTTGGGGGGGGGGGAATATTCTACAGTGACTAACACATAGTCACTTTTATGGTTAAGCATTAATTGCTCCCTAATATTTCTTCTATTTCACATCTGGTCATTTTTAGAGCCCTCTGGGTGTCAGAATCCCAAGGAATTATAATTTAAATCTTTTTAACGCTGTATCTGAACTCACTGCTAGAGGCTAGTTTCTGCAATTTTTGTGTGTAACGGAAGCAGAAGTATCTTAGCATCTCCCTTGCAGCATCCCATATCTTAAAGGTATTTTAGTTTAATGCTCCATTAAACTGGTGTCATCTAGCATCAATTTTCCCAGACTCACATTAGCGTAATGTAGATACCGAACTATTTAGAATCAAAGAGTGAAGAGCTTCTAAGCCATCTCCATAATTTGGAAGAAGTGATAAAGCTTTTTAATCCCCCCAGGGCATTTTAATTTTTAACTCTTTAGGCAATGCACTGGCATCTGAGTCAATTGTCTCCTCTTTCTGTACACAACCACAACACTTGAAGAGCAAATATCAGGTTGTTTCCTGTACAAAATCACAGTTCAACACATTGAGATACAAAAGGTATTCTTCTATTAACAAAATGGAACTGTTCCTCCAGAATCTTAATGCTAAAGTTGTAGCAAGGGTTTATTCAAAAATACAAATTAAGCCAAGCCAACACTACGTCAATGCACAGCTTTCCGCTCATGAAAGAATCTCTGCACTTACAGAGACACACATAGTCCAAACGTCAAACACTTACTAACAATCACACTCAATTCTGGAAAAAAAGGTAGGATTAACTACATTTTACAAAAAACAAGAACAAAGAAAACCCCAACCATGTGTTTCACTGATATACCGAAGATCAAAGTTCAAGAGAGTGGGAGTAACACACATAAATAGACATTTAAAACTCCACAGTCCCTAAGAACAGGGATAGTCATCTTGGAGAACGGAAGCCTCATTCCTCTTTTCTCTGCACGAGGCACTCCATGATCTCTCAGAGGGAAGATACTGGCTGGTTTCTTTCTTGGGAACAAGACATCAAGGAATCACAAAAAGGATGTAGCGGAGACAGTTGACAGAAAGAGCTCTTCAGAAGGACTGACTGTGAACACAGCACAGCTGATCCATGGACAGTCACTGCTGAACACAAAATCTACATCATATAGTCGCAGGTTGCGTAGAGATTTGAGGGCAGCTAAGATTAGGTAATTATTTAAGTAAGGACATAAAAAAAAACCAGAAAAACTATTTAGTAGATAGACTACTCTGTTCCTTTCTGTTCTGTATTACTGTTTAGATAACTGTTAACGGCAGCAGCAAGAACCTGCATAGCAAAGTATTTGTGAAATACAAATATTTTTCTCTTGTGTATTCTGCCATCTCTCAGAAAGCACAATTGTGTGAATTTGTTTTTTTCTTTTTAATGATGACAACAATCACTTTGTTATAGCCATGTTTTCAGTGAGCAGTCTGAAATACGATACTCCTCTCATGACCCTCGATGTTTTTAGTCCATGCCTCCAAAATTCAAACATTCCAACCGTTGTCAGTACTCAAATATATTTAAGTAACTCAGCCGACATCTTTATGTTTTAGGGCTTCTGAATGTAGAAGTTAAAGCTTTCAGCAGTTTGCACACAGATGAGCGCTGACAGGTAGGAGCTGTACCCCTCCTTCCTCTCTCTTCCCATTCCCAAGTTTATTTCAAGAGAAAGATTTCTGCTTTCAAAAGATGGGTTTGAGTTTATCTGAAACAAATTAACAGCGTCCTTCAAGAAACTAACCATAGAGACCAGGTACCTGAGGGGGGAGGCCTTAAGAGCTCCCAGCAGATGCCAGTAAAGAGCAACAGTATGGCTTCACGGCAATATGTTACACCCGAAAAAAATTGGCTTTGAGCAGCTCTCATGAACTCTACATTTTCAAAAATCTCCACCGTTCCAGAAATCAAATTTACTGTGTAGCACAGACTGCGAGCTCTGACGTGACACTGATGCTTGGTGACATCCTGTTTCTCTAAATTATATCAACAACTTCTCAGGTACTTCTGTCATTAATAGTTGTCAATAAAACAACTTAAAAGATGATCCCAATAATATTTTTGGGTTTATTTTTTATATTATCTTCCTTGACATAATCTTTGTAGCCTGGGTGCCTAAAATACATACAAGTGCCCTTGTGCTTACATAAGGAACTGTTTCCCCTGTGCTTGCGCATCTATTAAATGTGTAATTTACTTTCTAGCTCAAAAAATTTTAGGATTTTACCAAATTAATGGTGCATCACAGTTTTTTTAATTTGAGTTTTTTAAATTTGATTCATAGAAAAAATACAGATAATACAGAAGGGAAATATTTTAACTCCCAAGTCCTAATTCTAATACTTTACATTTAGAAGACATCTGAAAAACAGCCTGACCTTCTATTTTAGCGTTTGCAACTCTGTCATTAAACCACAACTGAGATCAAGATTTGCACTTTTCACAAAACATTTCTCCAGGCTCTCTACTTTAGTACAATGCCAAAATGCCGTAGGCATATTAAATACATCTTTGTTTGACAGCTTGTCCATTCAACACGCCCAGAAGTAATGCTGTGAATGCAACCACAACTAAGAACAATTGCTATCATTAAAATAGCAAAATATTCAAGTAAGTCAGACGTAATAAATCCTATGTTTACCCTCAAGTTACAGCTGACTGTCATATCCCTGCTGTCCAAGAACAAACTGCTCAACACATTAATGGCACTTCTGTACAAACAACCCCAAATAAATAATCCTTGGATAAATTGCAGTGGATTTAATATAATACAAAGTCTAGACGTTCTACTTCCAGATTTTGTAGAATAAAAACCCAAAGCTTTTAGCGTAATAAAAATAAACTTAACCCTAATACAAGGATTACAAAAAAACAATTCCATGATTGAAAACCATATGGGATTTTGATCTGAAAACATGTCATGATAGAATTGATATCTTTCTTTTTTCCCCCCCCCCTCACAATATCTACTGGACCTGGATGTAGCATAAAAAGTTAAACGCCAGATTCTTCCATGGCAGATCAACACAGGGTGGACAGTTAGTTATGAGGCATTGGCAATCAAAGGTGCTATAAGGCAGCATTTACTGTGAGCCTAGCATGCAGATTTCTCAAACTCAGATACCCCAGGGAGAAGAACAAATAAGAAAGAAAACCAAACACACATTAATTCTTCAAGATTTCAGTGGCTACAGCTAGACATTTAATAAAGACTTTGAGACACAATAGTTCAATTTAGCTGTATGCGCCACTGTTTCCACACTGTATTTTGCATTCCCTGTAGTCACTTTAGCCACAAAAAGAAGCGAATTACAAAATCAGGTGGAAACCCGATATCTACACCACTGCTGGTGATCGATTACTTGGAAAAAATCATCTCAAGTAAGATCAGCCCAATACGTACTTTACAGGTGAGAAATACATTCTCATAAAAAGAGACAAACAAAACATGCAACAAAGAAATAGTCCTAATCTGAAGAGACAGTAAGAAAAGGCGTCTGAAGAGATGAACCAACCAAAAAAGAAACAAGCGGAACAGAGAACATGGTCAACAGCACGCTAAAGGATGCAGCTTCAGTTCGGGAAGCAGTCTCACAGAGGTATTTCAAACCATATACAGGCATTACTTTCATTTCATTCTGGTAAATTTGGAGTCATATTTACTGTTCCTGTTCCTGTGCGGCTCGCTGGGTCACTGGTATACAACACTCAGGCACCTTCACATACTAACTCTCTGGCTTTCTGTCTTTATTGGAGCTAAATCACTGTACTAAGGCACAAAGAATTCTAATTATGCAGCGATATTATCACAGGAGCGTTCTTTATACATTTTAATACGTTTATGTTTGGTCAGTTGGGATATTCAACACCACTAGTCTCATAAGCATCAGAAAAAGACACGACAGACTGCACAGAACATCAGGTTGTGTGCAATGTGTGTAACTGTAAATGAACTGTTTTCTTCAGTTTTTTTAAAAAAAATAACAGATAACTACAGCAACGTGGTGCCACGGAATCTTTGAAAGACCATTTACCAACTTGTAAATACAGCTCCTTTTCAGAACAACTTATTACAAGGATTAGAAGATTGTTTCTCAAAATAAGTACACACACACATAAATATATACATATATGCCTGTATTATTTCACAATTTTTGGAACTGTTATGTTATGGTAATATATAGGGTCAAGTATAATCCTGTTTAAAAGCCTAACCAGACTGGGGGAAGGGAGAGGGGACAAAGGGAGACTCCCCCATTGCCCAGCTGGGATGGAAAGATGGATGTTTACCTGAGGAGGAATTTGGAGGCGAGGGGGCCATTCGGCTCACACATGCAACACTCCACACCAGGTGATGCACAGGGCAGCCCAGAACGGGAATTGCAAGAGGGCTTTTTTAGGCAGAGATAATCTCGGGTGATGACAGCATTCAACAGCAAGTAAGGATGGGCAAAAGGTTAACGGATATAACAAAATTATAATCTGTGACATATGCTTCAGAACATGATCTGTTCACATATACAGCACTTGACAGTTTTACACATTTAACCTCAGCTGCTGTAGCTCTGTATAGGGTATTCCCAGCAAATAAAAAAGGAAGTTTGGGTCCTTAACTGTACAGCAATGTACTATAAAAATATATATACACAAAAAAAACCCAAGATACACAGAACCGGATATCCCACATGAAAGGAACTTCATTAGGAATTAAAGTT